AAAAGCGTGTGCAAAAAGTAGCCACGTCCCACTCAAAGGGAAGAAATACAACATCGTGGAGTTGGAGGGGGCCTACAAACTGCGCGTTCGCCACGGCTGCACACTTCATAGGGTCATAGGGCGTGCCGTGGGTATTTTGGACGAGCTGCGGGCACCCATCATTGCAAGCATATCCGTCAGAAAGGAGCAAAACTCTCCCCAGGACATCAGCTTGCCATTATCAAAGGCATCCAAATAAAGATCGTTGTTCTCGGCAGGGCCTGGCAGTGGCACGAGTCCACATCGGAAGAAGTTTGACTGATCTTGACTGGCAATAAAGCCTCCCCATATAGAGACGTTTGACAATCCAGGTAGGCTGGCTGGATTAATCAACAGCCTACAGTATGAGGAATCTATATCTTATTTTCACACCTTGGTTGATTGTCCAGCTTGTGGGTGCTTTCGACCTATCTCTACGTAGCCCGACTGTAGGACAGGGCTCACGTCCTCATTCCGGCCTTTCTATGCCTTTCTCACCTCCGGCCTTCTCCGCCAGCAGGGATTCGGATGAGCACGTGCCGTGGGACATTGGCCAAAGGGTGGCACATCAGCCCACATCGCCGTGCCACGGCGGCCCAAACCTCGGACGGAACGGGGCCCGGGGCAAGGTTTGGAAACCAAGGCACCACCAGTCCCGCCGTTTTCGCCAGAGGAGCCAGAAGTTGAACGATCAAGAAGCTTCTGTTTGCACTCTCCCCAGAATATTGCACATTCTTGCAATCATTAGGCAAGATGCTACAGAGAGCGAGATTGGAATACCTTTCTTCTTCTCAAGGACTGCATGAAGCATGGAATTCTCCTCAGATTCGAAACGGGCAATGACTGCGTTACCATGTTACCTATTCAATTTACATATGCAAGTTGAAGCAAACGGGGTCAAAGGCCGTTCTACCGCCAATGTAGATCTGGCTCTCTGGATTTCACAGGAGACATCCTCCTCAACCCCTCTCTCACGCATGGCAAAGTGAAAAAGGTGAGACGTGATTGACGTGATGTGACACAGACCTGTACGCTGCGCGACTTCTCTTGAGCTCCAAACTTGATGCCGACCGAGAGCTGGCAAAAGGAATTGCCACACTTTCGCTCGCGCTCTGTAGGAAACAAACGTCAAACACGCCATCTGTCTGAACATGGGCCAAGGTACAGGATTGTAGTAGTCCATCTGGTTTCCCTCCAGCCCAAACTCTTGGTACAAAGCTTGGTTGATGGCAAGAACCATCGACCTGACTTCCGCCTGGCAATGGCGATCCGCAGCCTCGAACCAAGCTACGGCGTCCGAAAGGACGCCGGCTTCGACCCTCCAGTGGACCGGCCAATGTAGCGATAGACATGGCTGGTCACGTGACCAGCCATGTCTATCTTGGCCATGTCATCCTCCCACCTGAACATGTCAAGTGAATGGTTCAGCCGGGCCATGTCTATCCCTGATTATCCCTGGCCCAGCCACACCACACCTGAGACGGCAGTGCAGTGCTTTGGCGCCGGGCGCCCAGCTCAGCGGCACGAAGGGCCAAGCGCTCCAGAGACGATCTCATAGCACTCACATCCGCATTGGGATAGCCCCACTGCGAGAGGATGAAGGCCTCATAGCAACGGCAAATACTGTGGACTGTGGACATGCTGCAGGAGCGAAGGAGGGCTTTTGGTGAATTCTGGTGGAACATATCAAGATGTTTCTCAACTTTCGCTGGAACCTCACTTGCAGCCTCACCAGTTAAAACAAGATACAACATGCTTGTGAAAACATTACATTCTCCAGTGGGAAGCTTTGCATGCTTCGCTTCGCTTTAAAATAGACCGACCCATTTGCCCATTCCGGCCTTAGGTTCTTGGAACATGAGCCCGGAAACCGTACGCCATGGTACATTGTGGAAAGTAGGATAAAAACAAAGACATTGATACCGATACCAATTGGCCATGATTGGCCGAATCTTCGTGGCTCAGGCCCTGCTTCCGTGCAATTGAGACACTCCTTCCTCCAGAGTGGTGGCCTGAAGGAATGCGGTGGGCTGTTGCGAGTGGCCGCGACTTTTGATGGAAGGAGAGACACCGCGACTGTTGATGAGGAGATCTGAGAGCATCTCAAAACTTCCAAGGTGTCCTTGAATCATTAGGTTGGATGACAGTTGGTAGAGGTGTTCTTGCATTGCTCAAGAGTGGAAAAATGCATGGCTAATCTTGGTACTCACTTCTTGGTATTGTTCCATGCAAGCAACATTCAATCCAACTATGCATCATGTCCGGTCTATGGCCGATGGCTCTTGGAGAGAGAAACTAACAACACGAATAGCAGCGGCCACCGCCGTCGCTGCCACGGACACGGTCAATCTGCAATCCGACATGGAACACCTATAAAGTGAGGAAAGCACCGCACACTGTAGACAGCACATACTAGAAATGCATGAATTGATAGATAGCTCACTTACATATGTCTTTTCAGGCCAAAATAATTGAATCATGATATAGAGTTTTTGGTCTTTGAATGCTCTTGTATAATAATGATGTGTTTGTATGTCTTTGACAGAAATATTGCTTGCAGGTGTTGTAGCCGACTCTGTAACAACGATCCCAAGGCCCTGGCAGCTTCGCTGGTCAGCAGCTGGGCCCAGCGTTGTTCTGCCCATCGGTTGGTGATTTGAACCCGGGCTGAGTTGGCCAGGCTTTTCAACCTGACATCGTTTGACTTCGACGTGACCAATGACCAATGGCTAGTGACAGTGACCAGTGGAATCTGTTGCCCCACCAATCCTCTTCACCTCTCCCCTTTATTCAGCATCTCTGCAGAAACTGTCCATGTGGAACCACTTGATTACGGTCTTTTGACGTCAAGGCGATGATGTTAGAAACCACTTGTCAACTTGACAAACAGAACTTGATGTTTTACAGCTACTGCAGGAATGCTGAAGAATAGCCATCAAGTATGGCACTGACGCGGAAACGGTGCACTTCCTTGCAGTAAAGCTACCGCATATCCTCCTCCTGCTCCAGCTTTAGAAGGATGTCCAAAACATTGGCACCCAGTCGGTGCATCCTCAAACAATCTACAGTATGTGAATCTGAGCGATCTGAGTTTGATGAACTGATGTTCGATCTGTGTCGATCCTGGAGCGTGTTGCCAAGTCACTGGCCAAGGATTTGCTCCTGCTCCTCCTGGGCAACGGCCTTGTGAAGAAGCTGGCAGACTTCTTTGTCCTGCCAAGTGAGGCTCCAAAACGTGACTCGTGAAAGCCACCCTAGTTACAGTCTTCGTTAATTCACAAGGGTGCTTTTCCCAGTGAGGGCTTGGACATTCTCATGGGCGCGTTTTGGGTATGTGTGTTTCTATGTTCACCAGTGATCGTGCGGCTGGCGTTTTGCTGGCTCCATGTGTCAATAAGCACAACTAAATGTTCAATTGTCGATGATCTGCCGATGGCTTGCGGCCCGGCCGGCCCCCGTGCGGCCCATCGGCACGCCGCCTAGGCCGACGGGAAAGAAGTCCTGCTTGGAGCGACTGAGGAAAAAGCCAAAAGCATTGGCATGAGCAACCCCTGCGCGATACTCCTCGACCTCAGCTAGAATTGACTTGGATAGCGATACTTGTGGAGTCCCTGTTCTCCTCTTATAGTCAACTCATGTCAACTCCACTTTCTCTTCGTTTGTACTTGGCACCATTGTGCATATCCAGATTGGGACGCTTGCCGAATGTCACCATCTTTGGAGGACCTACCCGACATACCTTAACATTTGGCCCCAAGCGCAAAAAGTGGGATGGCCCATCCCACATCCAGGCATTTGGAGTCAACAACCAATCAACCCTCCTCAACCGATCCTGGAAACTGACTAAGTCACTATGATGATCACGTCACACAATTCTAACGTGAGGCTATGTGATGATATGTGGGCATTTCTTACAGCACATCCCACTGTTCCCGCAAACATCATACCCGCTCATGCATCCACGGCACAGAGCGCTGCCACAGCCTTAATGACGCCTCATCCCGCGCGCCGGGAGCGGCGTCTGCCACCTGGAATAAGGCGCCGAAGTGCCAACGGCTGCGAGAGCATTGGATCCACACCTGCGGTCGGCATTCAACTTCATGGTGTTCCACTCGGCTGATTCGTGGAACAGGTTTCACAAAGCGCCTTCCGCAGAAGCTTCTGGGAGGCAAGGAGACATTCGTTGCCGGTGGGCGAAAGAAACTAGCTAATCAGCAGAACTAGTGGACTTGAATTTGTATCTACAGTATATGCATAACATTGTATAATTAACATTAATAAACTATATTATATATGAATCTCAACCAACCGGGGAATATTCCGCACCTGATCACTACGTGCCGCTTGACACCAGTGTCGAGCCACTGCGGCCATCGAGAGGACACCTGCGCAACGTCACGAATGCCGAAGCCATGCTGTGGGGCACCCCAGGAGCTACTAGTATATAATATAGTAATCACTCGAATCCAAAATGCTCCAATGCCAAGAGATAGAATGAACATGTGCCCACTTTCTTGCAGCCAGTCCGTGTTACAAAGATCAAAATGGCCACAAAGGAGGGTCCCATGGCCTGTCACATCGCAGTAACTGCACACCACAGGTAGAAGCGCATCCAAAACTTCTGCCATGGCACAAACAGGAAGCAACGATGCTTCGAAAATCAACCTGCTATTGAGAACAGTGGATGTTCAAAAAAGATGGTGCAACAATAATTGCATTTGCCCCACCAATGGGTCATTCACTGCACAACTCCCTACAGTAATTATTAAGCTCTTGTGGCTACCTTGCTGCCATCTACATGGACAGCCAAAACAGAAAACAGCCAGACTCAAGGTCTTCAAAGTGTGGCTGCTTGATGCTGCTTAGCACGGCGCCAGCGCCAGCGCAGTGGACACTTGTTTTCCCAGTGAAACGGCTGCGCTGCTGCGCTGCTGCGCGGCTGCCTGATGTTCGGGCCAGCTAACATTTGGGGCCTTCAGTGCCTAGCTACCTATGTGATATAACCCGTGAAGCTTCATAGCCGCCACGAAGGCCAGAGTTTTGGCCTCCTGCAACGGCTGCAGCTGCTGCGGCGGCAGCAGCCCTGGAACTCCGCCCTCTGGCTGAGCCACGCTGCGAGCCTCGATGCTTTAGTGCTGCAGGTGCATCCTTTGTACTGTCCGAACGTGGAGGAACCTTTGCCTCGCCAGCACGCTCAATGGTAGCTGGTGGTGCCACTTCTGGAGCCGTCTCTCGGGGAGATTGTTCCACTGCAGCTCTGGTAGGGCTAGGCAATCGTGGAGGGCGCTGTGCTTCAATGGCAGCACACTTGGCGCGCAGTTGGGCAAGCTCCTCCTGGGCCTCCCTCAGTTTTTCACATTGTAGGCGCCCAGCCTTGTCCTTGGACAGCACCTGCTGCCAGTTTTCCAGATGTTCCTCTTGGACCTCAATCTGGCGCTTCATGTCCATGATGCTGATCTCCATCTCCAATGCACGAATGTCAGATTCCAGTTGGAGCTCCTCCAAAGACAGTTTGGCCTCTTCTGGATCAACATCTTCCAAACCTTCTCCAGGCACCATCAGCCCATGTCGCAGGTTGAGATCTCGCACATTTAGCTAGCTTTACGAGCCATATGGGCTACATGCCACGACACCTTGACACATAAAGTCCTCCATGCCCATGACCCACCCAATCATTCCCCAATACGCGATAACAATCGATAACATATGTTGTGAGCACTATCTCTCTCTATCATTTCGATAAAACTTTTCCTAAGAGGCTGAGGCTGCAATTGAACATTCCTCCCAGCTAGGGAAAAGGCGCACCAGTACACAGGACGTCTGAGTTGCACATCAATCACCGGTGTTCAACGAAGTGACTGGAGTCCGGAGTTGAACAAATTCTTCCCCAGGTCGAACGCACCCGCAGGAGTCCAACAAACTCTTTTTTCTGGTCTACTTCCCGTTGCAATCTCAAACATCTCAGCGTGGCTGAGAGCCGGTCTCGTCCTTCGGTGAGAAAGGTGCACCTGTGCACCTCCATCTGCGACGTGGGCTTCGAAGTCCGTGCTTCGCTCAGACTCACCCAATTCTCTAGGGCTCGACTAGTGACTAGAAGATACTAGAAGCAGGTCATCAGGGTGAGCACCAAATCGGTCAGGCAGGTAGGTCTGTTACTTGATCTTGCGCCGCTGATCCTTGGAAGTCTGTCAATTGATCACGTAGCAAGTTGAGCTGCTGAATAGTAGCTGAACCATTGCTGAGCCCTTGGCCCACCGCACGCTTAGCACATAGGCCTCATCACGGCATGACCCAGGCACTGGATCTTCATCGATACTGCACCCAACTTTTGGAGACATGACTGCCAATCTGTCAGGCCCTGACGAGAATCCAGCAGGTCATGGAGCCCACAATCCTCAGGGCAAACACAAAAGGAAAAAGCACTCAGTCGGGCGAGGGCCATCCTGCAATATCCTGCAAATCCACATGTAAAACAACCCTTCATGCACCTTCATGCCTCTTCATGCCCTCAAGGACCCAGCAAACCCAACAGCTAGTACGTGGAAAGAGTGGCCTGGAAAAGTCACACTGAAGGAGATTCACTCTCCTCCTGTGTCCTCTGTGGACCTCCCGGGCGATGAACATGTGTGTTCCACCCTGCCACCGGATGTCACTGGTGTCATGGAATTTCCCACATCAATTCTCATGGCCATCGACTCCATCGACCGTCTCGGTGCTTTTCCCGTCTCGGAGCGAACCGCTCGTGTTGGGCCCCATGACCAGGCGAACTCGGTCAGGTGGCCCTGACAGGATGGGCCATGCGATGGTGGATCGAACGGACATAGCTGTGACTATATATATATATATGATCACACAGGGCTGCCTGTTGAGCATAGTCTTTCCTCTTCAGGATGGCGCTCTAGCCATCCCCTTGTTCAAGAGGCTCCATGGAACTAGGTTCTGACATCAGCATCTCAAGATTTGGTATCTGTGTTCAGGTCTCCAGCAAGAACGGTGTTAAGTCTAGCTTGTGATGACAACATGTCCTTTTTGGATTCGCCGCCGGGCCTTGGGGATCTGGCAGCTCTAGGGATTCGGTGCTCATGGCTTATGCCAATGAAATTGGTGGCTGGTCGTGCTATCGAGCTCTCGCGGTCCACATCAAGAGCAATCATCTAGATGGCGAATTTACTAAACTTTACTCACCTGTCCCGTTGATTTCACCAACCCGAAGGGATTCCAGGGGGCTCCTTCGCCACCACTCGCGCTCGGGCGGCCAGCCATTCCGGCAACTAAAGCTTCATCTCAGCCAGTTCACACTGGCAGGTCCAAGGGCATGAATTAACGCTGAATTGGCGTGCCCTGAATTGCCCGCATGCTCCATGCAGCTTCCAAATTCCCATAACTTCATAATCGTGGACAACAACTCAAGCACAACTTCATCCCGCAGCACAGCAACACGAGGCTTGGGAGGTAGATATGTCCAAAATCTTTCAAACCCGTTTCACGGTCCCCCAAAACGGCCAACAACTTCTTGCATAAACGGCTGACTTGGAGCACTTGGGGTGCAAAGTTTTAGACTCGCAGTCCGCCACCGGTGCGAACGATGGGTGGGCTTCCTCGGTAAGCCGTGGATGATGCTCGCACTATACTGCTGCTCAGCACGCTGCAGGTGCTCACTGGCGGTGAAACAGCACCCGGCGCCCCTGCCAGTGAGCTGGTTGGGTTGCTGAAGAATGACAAAGCGCGGCTCGCGGTTTGGTGTCAAAAGGGTCGGTCAAGGTATGTCAAAGCAAGGCTACATGGGGTGCAAAAGTCCGCCTTCATGATGCTACCAACACTCAGAACCTCCTGCATGTCACCCCTTCGGTGACCTTCATTGAAAAAAGAAGGCATATAAAAATCTACAGGGCTGAAAGCCAACGTTCTTGTCCGACTGTTTCAAGTAGCTCAAGGTTCAAGATCCTCAAGTTTGCCTGGGGGAGGACCAGCATAGGTACGGCGGCGCTTTGTCTCCGTGCGGCCCTTGACGATCTCTCGCACCTGAGCCGATGTCCATGCTGAGCCAGCGATCCGCGCTTGAACAGCAGGGTGTTCCTGGGATTCTTCCCAGGCCCTAATGGTAACTCCCAGTATCTCCAGTTGATGCTTATTCTTGTGCCTTGGTGTCCTGCTCTCTTCCACCTTGCCCCTTGAGATTCACAACACCGGTTCCTGCTTTTCGCTAGGGTGTTCATAGCCCTGAGGCAAAGATCCGCTCTAGCTCCGTCTAGCATTGTGCTAGAGCCTGGTACCCGACGTTGCCCCGTTGCCAAGGAACTGGGGGTCCCCCAGTCTCAAAGATCTGTGCAGCACTGGTGAGCTGTGAAATGGCCTCCTGCAAGACAGAGGCCGCCTCGCGGCAGGTGCTAGCTGCGTCCTGACGGTGTATGAAGATGCATGAAGGTGTAGCAGGATGCCAAGTGTTGCGGATCTACTTGCAAACAGCTTGAGTTGCATTTCAGAGATACATAGGGATACTTGGTGCTTGAGATGATTGGAAGTTGCTGGTTTTAGCCGTTCTTTCTTCGCTGCACTGCTCCTTTGGCGCCAGGCGGCGCTTGTCCGCCGGCCAATGCATCCGCAAGGCGCTGGAGACCAAAAGCTCAGCAGCCACGGAGGGGGCTTGGAGGGTTTGAAGCTTCTGAGAGGGACGGGGTGCCACCATATTCAACACATGGGTGAGCTCCAGCAGCGGCTCTGTGCCCTCCTCTGGATCTCCTGCAAGTCACTTGTGAGCCACTTGTAGGCCTTTGAGGTCATGAACCTAAAAAGATCTTGAACAACTGACGGACGATCAAGGATGAATTAGATCGAGGACTCTTGGCCATTCTGTTTCTTGTGAATGACCCATCCCGGCTCTGATGCTATATCGACATCCAATACAGTAGCAACTTACGACCACATCTTCGAGAAAAATACGTCTTGGCGACAAACACCATGAATGTGGAAGATGAAGACTATGGTAGATCCTTGCTGGTTGCCAGCAATGAAAAGTTTTAAGACCCTTCAAACAGTACACTACCAAAGCTTTAGAACATGTCTGGCAGCCTCCTGATGCTGAAGCTGATGCCGTAGCTGCTGTTGCTGTAGCTGGCATTGGCCAATGGCAAAAGTGCCGGTTTTCCTGGTGCCTCTTGTCCTCCTCCTGGAAGTTCAATCAAGCTGCGCAACTTGCCATGTCTCGAGCAATTGTCTCTTTCAACTCTTGTCATATATATATATATATTTATTTATTGCATTGTATAGCACCATTTATGCGGCCAATACTCCTTCGAACCTATCAAAAGAAACAACCCCATTCCAGCTAGAACAAACTGCACGGAGAAACCAAGAAAACGACTACTCAGTGACAACCTCATTGCTTAATGGGGCAACACCAACCCACCTTGTGACAACAAACTCAGTCCTTTGTCACCACAGCCACGTTGGCCCGTTGAAGATCCTCCTGATAGGATGCCAAAATGCGATGCATATCAACATATATCATATATCAACATATATCAACTATATAAAAGGATTTGAGGTGTTCACTCATTGAACCAAACCCCGGCCGCTAAGTTTTGCCACACCCGAAGGCCGCACCTTTACAACTTTCCCTTGGGATGTGGATCAACATCTGTTCAATCTGGAAATGAACCCAGCTTGCCCCCAACTGATCCACGATTGCGGTGTCTCCTTCTTGACTCTGGGCGGCTGGCTTCTGGGTTGAGAGCTGGAGGTGGCCTGGTGGAACACAGAGTCACGGCATTCTGAATTTCAGGTGATGCGTAAATAGTTGTTGTAAACAGTTGCCGCAAACATGGTGTTCTGCAACAAACCGCTATATTCTAGGTAAAGCGTTCAAAAAGAAATAAGGGTTTGTGACTCCATCAGCTACCGATGGGCACTCCGTCAGCTACCTTGTTTGGAACCTCCATGCAGCTTTGAAAATTGCACAGCTTTTACGGAGTAGGCTGCCCACTAGAAACATAATCTGCCGCACAACGTGCCAATCTTATGTATATACATTGTATATGCCAAGTAATACATGAATAAAAACATATGTAATATGTAATTACATATTTGTGATACACGAATACCAGCCATCAACCATAGACGGCATGGCTTCTCAAATCCTGCTTGTGCAAAAATATGCAAAAATGTGCATTCGTCTAGGTCTATGACCACCGGGTCCTCCAAACATTACAACGCTTAACTATACGACAACTATCAGGAAAAAACACACATAAACACCTCTGAACAGCAAGCAAACTGCTGCTTCTGACCAAGTCTTCTTCCCTGCTATATGCACTCCTTCCTTCCATTCCTGCCACACCTTTGAACGATATACACCCCTCCAGCCCCCAAGCCGCTTCCGCCTCTCCCACGCGCGCACGCCGCGCAGGCGTTGGCAGCGCGGAGAGCACTTCAGCACCGCTGAGGCGGCGCTGCGGCTTGGGGGGGCTGGGCGGCACGATCGCCTCCCGGTCGCGAGCATGTCGCTGGTGCCACGTGTGAAGGTCAAAGGGTGAAGGCCCAAGATCTGTATTCATAGGCTATTGGGGGGAGGCTTTATGCCCATGTTCTTACAAATGGGAAAAGGATGGAAAAGGACAAGGAATGCGTGGAGTGGCAATCTGTCATTCTTGTCATTTCTTCTCCCTGAGGCTGCAAGAAGCTGTATCTATTGTCACTAACGGAACACATACATACTACTCACTTCACCATATTTCACCATGTCAGTCTAAGAGGCCAAAAACAAACGTCAAGGGAAGGATGACTGCCAGCAAAGCCGGGCCTTGCCAACCAAGCTCTTCTCTTTGGGCATCTGAATCCCAGATGTCAAGGCCCGCAAATCAAAAGCGGGTGGAGGCGACCTGATCTTGTCACAATGCGAAAGCCCATGAAAGCCCTTTTGGCCTATGGCAGCCTGCCGTAACCTTTGCAAGGGTCTTGGGCTGGCACATCAAACTCATGAAAGTAAAAAACATGAACTCTTGTTGTTTTGTTATTGTTGTTTTATGACATGTCATGAACAATCCCCAAACACCACTCCGCGTCTCCGAGCCATCTCTGAGTTTTCTCAGAGCCCGACACTTCGAAGGAGCCCCGGCGCCGGTTCCACTTGTCAAGGACGATGGCATTGCCACCCATCCCGTTTTTCTCCTCCTCCTGTTGGGAAGAAAGGAGGCGGCTCTGGCAAGAAATGGCACAATCCCAAGGATATGGTAAGGCTTGGTAAGGAAATGGACTGGCCACTGCACGATTTCAAGGACCAATAATCTTCAGAAGACTGAAGATTATTGGTCTCTCGCACTCTACTAGTTCCTGTCCAATCCTTCACGAGCCAACAAACATTTTGACTAAATTCTAATTTAAATTCTAATACTAACTCTTGCTTCTGAGATTCTGGAGCCCCTAGTAGCTTCTTGTTCCTAGTAGCGATGCCAGGAGCCCCTAGTAGCGTCCTTGCTTCTCCCCCCCCCCCCCAGGAATTTCCAAGCATTCCAAGTTGCCATGGCCCATCGGTTCCGCATCGCTTCGGCGATCTCGGTCAGTGTCGACCGGTTCGACCTCGCTTCCGCTCACGGTACCGAGCGCACGGTTCCTGCACCGGTTCCGCCCGGGAACCGATCGGACGTATGGCATGGTGGGATGGCCTGTCACATGACGCAGAAGTGACAAATGCAAGTGACATAAGAGTCACTTATGTACAGTATGTATTGACTGACAAAAGTCACTTGTGTATGTGTATGTATATATACACACTTATATATATATATGTGTGTGTATAGACACTTATATGTATCATGTGATCATCATGTGTCTGACGCAACTGCGTTCGGTGACGTATCTCCACTTCGCATCTCCAAGGGGCTCAGTGAGGTGAATGGCATCCCCCAGCATCTGGGCATAGTGTCTGGGCGCACCATGGGCCAGAAGACTTAAGAGCAGCGCTGACACAGCGCTAAGCAAGGGTGGCCGACCCGAGCTGTACAACGCTTCTGGGTCATAGATGATACACATCTCCAGCAAGAAGCGAGCAAGATTACTGCAGCGCGTCTTACTTTCCTTGTCCCACGGCTCTGCGGGCGTCTCATGATGTAGTGTGTCCGCAATCAGGCGATCCAAAAGGTGATAGGACCTCAGTGCAGCTGGTTCGTACTCCCTGCAGCGTCCTCATTCCACAATTAGCCCGGCCCACATATATACTCAATATACAACCTGCACATCTTGCCGAACACGTCACCTATTCACAAGAACCTACAAATGAATCCACTCTCCACTTGAAATTGTTCAGAGGCGCGTTGGAGTGCAAGCGCGGAAGCCGAGCTTCCGCAAGATGTTCAGCTCCGCCTTTCGCACCGCGGCCCAGGGCCTGGAGCTCCCAGAGACCTCGACGACCAACTTCCGGGCGCGTTCCAAGTCCTTCTTAAAGCCGGAGACCTTCCACCAAGCTCGAGTGATATCGAGATTGTTCAGTCTGATTGGTCTGGTGCTGCCCCCGGGCTCATAATCACATCTCCATTACCTGCCGTGTCTGTCCAGGTTCCCTCTTTGCACCTTGAGGGCGATGAGCATCGCCGCCAGGACCAAAGCGAATGCCCCGGTCCCCGGCGCAATGGGCGACGTCGAGGCGGCGGCGAATCGGTCCAGCAAGCCGATGGCGGTGAAGAGCTGCTCATCTGCCTCGGGTTGAACAGTGAAGTAGATGGATGGATTCATATGGATTTCCCCCCATATGAAGATCGGGGTGTTTTACAGACTGTTTGACTGTTTTGGTGTTTGGAATACCTGCATTCTTGAGTGAAAATAGTGAAAGGTAGCGTCAGGTGGAGATCGCCTCTCCAAAACCAAAGTTTCTTTGTTTCTGAGAGGCCTAGCAGGTGGGCTTGAGACACCAAAATGCTGCCCATTGAGGCTGGGCAGCCTTGATTCTCGGATCCTGGTGTCGGGTGTGTGTTGCAGGGCTGCTACAGTAATGGAAGAATCGGAAAGAACAAGCCCAGTTTTGCTAATCTTCTCATACAGAGATCGGCAGTCTGGATTCTGGATTCTCCTTGACGAGTGCTGGAGGTATTTGGCCTTGCCCCCCACAAGGCGCAGAATAGAAAAGGTGCCGTCTGGAACTCAAGAGTTCTTGTTCTGGAGCCCGAATAACTCCTCCTGGGCCTGGGCCTGAGGGCTACAGTATAACTTGTAGAGTCGCTATACTCCCTACTCCACTCGTTGGTCTACTTCCGCACGTATGTGTGCAACATTGTGCAAATATATTCCTTTCTTGTGCACGAGCTTTGTTCATGTCTCATCCTGGAATCACTCGTTGGGGATCGGCCTTCCAAAATCAGTCCCGATATGATATCACACATCACCCGGTATTTGTTTGCATTCCCTCTCGTCTTTGTTGGAAAACATACTCATGTGGTGACCCCCAACCACCCTCGTTGCAGTAGTAACGCACACCGATGCGTTCAACATTTGCCAATGGGCCAGGTCCAGCGCATCAAAGGCCTGCACCAGCCATTCCAAGGCATCAAGCCGGCGAGCGCTATCCAGGCCATGGGATAAGCTCTGATGGCCTGGGATGGATGGTGGTCTGGATGGCCAAAAGGCCGGAGATGTTGTTGTCTCTCAGGGACCCCATCGCACCCGTGGATTTGTTGAGTTTGTGTTTTCCCCACTTGGGGCGCATCACCAAAGGGCTTGGACCTATATATATATATATATGTTTTAACCTTACAAACACATAACAACTGCTTGATGGCATGTGAGAAACAGCAACAAAGCTTTCATCATGCATACCCCCTTCAATCACCCTAAATGCTGAAACGTGTGCTTCGTCATTGCCTACCCAGTCGCTCAAGTTCAAGGGAGATGACCGTTTGTGAAGGGCTGCCAGTGAAATCGCCACAGGGGGCGACTCTGCTAAGGGTGACTCGCTATGAGCGTTCTCCGTCTCTCCGGTATCGGCTTTGCTGAACCGCTTTTCGGTCGCCATGGGTTGGGGCAATCGCATGCCCCACGGCCAAATAGCTGCGACATCCAAATCCAAAAGAGACCTCAACATGACATGATTACATCGAATGAATGACAAGGTCAGTACTATAATGTAAAGCACTGCACATGTCAACGTCAGTGGAACCGACCTCATGTTGTGCCAGCCAAATACCCAAAGAGAGCAGCACTGCCAAAATACCTCCGGCCACGGGACGCTAAAAAGAGCATCGTGAAACCAGGGACCCATGACAGCGCAGCCCATCTGCCGACAGATTTGTCCAACTGGATCAAAACGCATCTTTAAACATTGTCGCGGCCGTGTTTTGTCCGTGGCAGTGCCAATCACGCTGAAATCATATTGCAAATGATGCCCATAATGTTGTCAATACTTGTTGCGTCGCAATTTGTTAGGCGGCACCGAAAGCATAGCCCTGCTGGTGTTTCCCACCTGCCACTGGTTTTCTGGCCAACCATAGCCCATCCGTCAGGTCTTTCCACCTTAAGCGGTGCGATTCAGCTGATGGCTTATGCACAAAACAAAACTGCCAAGAAGCAAAATATACATATAGAGACTGTACGGCCATTCTCTGCGGACAAAATCATCGGAATCATAGGAATGGTTCCAATAATCCAATAACCGAAGAACCAAACACAAAGCCCCCTAGTATTGAGTTATTGAGTGGCGGTTGCCTGCAGGACCAACGATAACCCTGATCTCTCTCCCCTCTCTCTCCCTCTCGCTGCTGAGCTGCACACCAGGAATACTTGAGGCTTTGCAACTGCGGGCGTGCACAAACGCAGCAAGAGGCTTGGCTAGAGGTGTTATATTTTAATATGATTGAGTTTAATCAATATGTCTTTTCAAGTCATCCGGTCTGCTGACCCTGTGCATTTGGAGGCACGCTGTTCCAGCAAGAGCCACCCACTCCACTCCCGAATATGGAAAATGCAAGAGCCACAGAGCCACACACTCCGTTCCTGTCTACGGACTCCAAAGACTTTGGCGAAGGTTTGCACCTTGGCTTTAGCATGAGCCGCTTGAGCTTCTTCTGAAGCCTTTGACCTGACAAGACAGCCACTCAGGCTTTTGCACAAGTTCCCCTGAGCAGCACCACTATCTTTGAACTTGCTTGCTCTTGCGCATGCATACAGGGCAGCCCATACCACGCATACAAAGCTAGCAACGCCTCTATGTTGGCACTCCTGCCCCAAGGGATTATTTTGTCAAGATACATCTAGACTCTAGAAAGTCACAGGACTCAGAACTTCTTGGCATCAATATTCAACACGATCCAGCATAGACTTCTGCTTCAAAAGCAGTCCGAGGTTCTGCAGGGGTGAGCAAGTTAAAAGCCATGACGTACAAGTAGCGCACAAGTAGAAAGAGTACGACAAACAATTTCGTGGCCACCAGCCACTGCACAATTGCCTTGCCTTGCACTCCTTGGGCTGCTCATCAGCGGATGATAACGATCCGCCACGGAGGTATTGCTGTGCGCGTCTGTTCATGGAACACTCGTGATACTTGCGGCCAGTGCGCCGTGTAATCCTCTTCAGGTTTTCAATGGTTTTCATGTTGCTTGTCTTGAGCCAGCAGAAGTAAGCAACACAACACCAACCAACATTGCACAACAAGCCGTGAAGTGCCCCTTGCAAGTATACAGTATACCCGCCAAAAAAAAAACAGAGTTCCAATAAGGAGCCCAATGCTGGCTTCTTGCAGCAAACTCCACCTCGTCTGCTCCGACATGCTCACGCTCCACCTGCTCACGCTCGCTGTTGTTTCCTTCCGATCGGTTTTTCTCAGCGACCATCCTGGCAAGATTCTTTGGTGGAAGACAATTTTCAGGGCTCCAGCAGAAGTTAAGGCTTTGAAGCTGCATGCTGATGCTGCTGCTATTATAACAGTCCCCTCAACCAGCACCAAGCGGGACACAACTGCGGAAGAGGCACTTCGCAACTGCTTCACTGAATGCAATGCCGAACTTGGGCAGATCCAGGAAGATATCCTAGGCTGCCCGCTGGAGAGGCATTAGACGGCAATAGACTCTCAGTGGGTGCTCAGCAAACGGACCGAAACCCCAAAAACAACACAAACTCTTAAAATTCTGAAGGGTTGCGGGTTCGCTTTTCGGGCATTTGAGGGGATGGACTAAGACCCAGCGCCACAAGGTGCCGACCACAAACCCTTTAAAAACACGCCAATGAACGGACAGGTCCAGCACCCTCACTGTACAGGAGCAGACCAACTGTCCTGCTATCCACCAGCAGTCGTAACAACCTGGTGCTGCTGAAGTTTCAAGCGTTTGAAATGCCAAGTGATTGCTCCGCTCCTCGCACAGAAGAGGCTGCCCATTTGGGCCAATGAGCACCAGGGGGCTGTGCTGGGAGAGGCTCTTGTGCTTCGGTTGGCTGTACACTTTGAATGCAAAGTAAAGGACCAAACGAGACCAATTGGTAGCCACTTCCCACGTTTGAGATCCCTCTTTCGGTCCTCATCCAGGCTGAGCTGGAAGTGTCCCAAGGTGCCTTCTGGAGGAAGTGCCCCGCGCACCACCACGTGCCTGAGACCACGTGGACATTTATGACCCCCTAGGTAAGTACAAGCTTGGATCAATGGTGACCATGCAAAGTGAATGGGACGAGATGGGACGAGTTCTCTGGAGCAAGGTCATCGCTCTCATCTGAAATTTCAACTCTAAAAAAACAAAGGACTGAACTCGAGCACGCTCCAGGATCCGCCCTTGCCGTGTCTTTCAATTCGCAAACTGCCCATGGAGCCTCAAGGGGCGTAAGTTCTCGTACTCCAGGGAACCCGAATTGCTCCAGTGTGGCGTAGATAGATCCTCACACGATCACCGGCACCTCCCACTTGGGCCGTTGTGATTGAAGCAGGCAGATTCCGAGGCCGTGTCAAGTCATAAAAACAATGCGGGTGATTGGGTCTTGAGTCTTCAGAAGCAGGTCAACATGTCCCAGGCGATCCACTCCAAGTCTACCTGCACAGCCCAACAGTGCACCAGCTGGCTACTGGTCTAGTGGCCCTGCGAGCCACTCCCGAATGAGGGCGCAAGTGGATATGAGCAGAAAACATAATATAATATATATATATATATACATAATCATGTGGTTATAGTTACAAGTTATCGCCTTTGGGGGGCCCTGCGGAACTGCACCCTCCGCACTAAAGCTCAACCTGAGAAGAGGGAAACACTAAAGGTAGGACAGCGGGAAGAGAATGGAGCATGTAAAACAGGCATTGAAACGGCGGTGGGAGTAAAACGGTGGTTGGTGTAAGCCGCGCAGGGGGGTTGGTGTAAAACGTGGTTTGGGAGTAACGGTGGTTGGTGTACGACGACCGCGCAGGTGCGTCAACAGTGGTATAAAACGTGATTTGGTGTAAACGGTGGTTGGTGTAAATAACATGGTTTCAAAGCTACATCCGATGCGCAACAGCAGCACGTCCAGATTCAAGCTGTTGCAGTGGAGGCGCCGCGCGAACCCAGATCTGAGCCGCCGTTGTGCCGAGCTTTTGTTGACTCACGGTCCACGTTGTCGCTATGCTGGCAAGGGGGTTGAACTGAACTATCAATCAATTATTAGACCCGGCGGAGCCCACACTTGCTTCGCAAGACAAACTCAAGGTTTTCTGGGGGGCTACCTTTCGTGATATAGACTGTTTGCATCACCTGTCCACAGCAGAATTCTTTTCATTTCATATCCTTTTGATTCCTTCTGTTGGAATCCTGAGCCAAACTCCTGGGAAATGTATTGGCTGGAGGTACTTCCTATTCAGCCTCCCTCAATTGGTTGGTAGCAGGGCCTGGACGCATCAACGCCCCAACCGTATTACGCAAAACGCTGCTTGTCCGCTTGTTTGTTTGTGTGAATTTGCACTGAAACGTAGCCATGACAACAACATGAACCACCCTCGACAACAAGGCACGCAACCGTGACTGTGAGACCCGTGGCTCAAAGAAGACCCCAACCTCTGCGAACACTGCAACCTCTGTGGCCTCAAAAAGGTGCCACCAAGGCTCGATGCTTCTCTGCTCGAGAAACCTCGACGTTGAACAGGCAACATGTTTTGACATATCATTAGTAGTCTCTTGCTTCTAGTACTAATTGCCCGTCTTACTAGTAGATTTTTGCTACTATATATATATATATATTAGCGATGCCCTTGTTACTAATTGCACTTGTTACTACTAGCTTCTTGCTGCTACTAGCGATGCCCTTGCTACTACTAGAGATGCCCTTGTCACTAATTGCACTTGTTACTAATTGCACTTGTTACTATGCTTTCTTGCTACTACTAGCGATGCCCTTGATACTAATTGCACTTGTTACCAGTAGCTCATGGCTGCTACTAGCGATGCCCTTGCTGTAATTCTAGCGATGCCCTTGTTACTCATTGCACTTGTTACTAGTAGCTTCTTGCTACAACTAGCGATGCCCTTGTTGCTAATTGCCCTTGTTACTAGTAGCTTCTTGCTACTACTAGCGATGCCCATGTTACTAAAAGCACTTGTTACTAGTAGCTTCTGGCTACTACTAGCGATGCCCTTGATACTAAGTGCACGTCTTACTAGTAGCTTCTTGCCACTACTTACTAGCGATACCCTTGTTACTAATTGCACTTGTTACTAGTAGCCTCTTGCTACTACCAGCGATGCCATTCTTAGTAGTTGCTCTCATCTCTAGTGGCTTCTTGCTACTACTAGCGATGCCCTTGTTACTAATTGCACTTGTTGCTAGTAGCTTCTTGCAACTACTACGGATGCTCTTGTTCTAATTGGACTTGTTGCTAGTAGCTTCTTGAGACTACTAGCGATGCCCTTGTTACTAATTGCACTTGTTACTACTAGTGATGCCCTTGTTACTATTTGCACTTCTTACTAGTACTAGAAGCTTCTTGCTACTACTAGCGATGCCCTTTGTTACTAGTAGCTTCGTGCTACTACCACGCATGGCCTTGTTACTAGTGGCTTCTTATTACAAGTAGTATTGCACTTGTTGCTAGTAGCTTCCTGCTACTACTAGCGATGCCCTTGTTACTAGTAGCTTCTTGTTTCTAGTAGTTTTACACTTGTTACTTACTAGTAGCATCCTTGCCACTACTAGCGATGCCCTTGGTACTGGTAGCTTCATGTTACTAGTAGCAATGCACGGTTTACTAGTAGCGGTGCCCTTGTTACTATAGCTTTCTGTTACTAATAGTAATGCACCTGTTACTACTAGCGGTGCCCCTGTTACTAGTAGTAGTGCACTTGATACTAGTAGCGTTCTTGCTACTACTAGTAGTATTGCATTTGTTACTAGTAGCGTCTTTGCGACTACTAGCGATGCCCTTGTTACTACTAGTAATGCACATGTTACTGGTAGCGTCCTTGCTACTACTAGCTAATTATGCCCTTGTTACTAGTAGCTTCTTGTTACAGTATTTACTAGTAGTGCGGCACTTATTGTTACTAGTAGCGT